GGTTAATTTACTGTCCTGTAAGCAGCTATGGTTGTCTCAAGAAGCCTAGCCATCAGCCAGATAAGAATTAGAGTATTGTCTGTCGTAATTAACGGTCAGTGGGCCGGGTAATTGACGTGTTTCAGGAAGTCAAAGTAATTAACCTCGATCATTGTTTGATCGACTCACACGAAGGCTCCATTGTTCCATTAACGTAACGTCGTTATTTATCTGTCCGGAAGTACCGGCACTTGATTGACTCGTGGGAGGAGTAACGTCATTTTAGAATAACGTAAACGTGGTGCTTAATTACTGTTATTAACCACCTGAATTGGTCTGAGTATGGAAGGCTTAGATGGAATTCATACCTTAATGTTAATTGCTGAGCCAGTGTGAAAGATTGCTTATTTAATTTTTTCATTTTTGATCTTGAGGATAGTAATTAATTACTCTAAAGGTATTCAAGAGTGATTAACGTTCTCTTAGCACGTTGGATATTGTAAATTAGAGTTTACCATCGTTGAGTGATTAGTAACCGATTAACGTAAATTAACGTAACTAGAAAAGAGAATAATCGGCTGTCTAGGAATACAGGGATTAATGGGATTTTCTCACTGAATGCTCGACAGGTAGAGTGTTGTGTAATTTCCGCGTTACTAGTGACAGTTGTAAGAGTTGTTAAATTAACGTAAATTTTATTTAGTTATTAACCTAAATAAAATTGTTATTGATCGTTGATCGTCCGTGGGGAAGGTTTTAACGTAAGGATTAATTTGAGGAAGGGTTGCCAGTGAACCCATTAGTCATTGATGTCATTGAAAGGCTACTGATTTGATTGCATTGCATCCGCTATTGCAGGAGCAGATTGCACTGAGGCGTAGAACAGTAGGAGGTTACTAGAGACGTGTTTCAGAACCTACTGTGTCATTTGTTGTAATTGTGATTATAGATCTGTTAGTTCTTGTTTCGTGTTGATTCCTCTGTGTTCACGGTTATGTTCGAGTTAGTTCATTATGCAGTCCGAGGGGCTGGTGTCTAGCTGTCATTGATAGTGTCACAGGAAGGATTTCGAGTATTGTCATTGATATTTCTTTTTGTTTTTTTGTAGTAGTTAGTACTTTATTGAATAAACGAAGTTGTTATGTTTAACACTATCTTTTCGTTAAACCCCCACACAATATGATTGTTATGCAAGTGTTCTGACACACTCGACTAATCAAATTGAGACTGATTCGGAGTTTTGGACCAAATATACGGCACCACACAAAAATAAATTATTGTTGAGAGACCCCAGGACCTATTTATTAGATTCGCTTCGGCGAATGGCGAAGGTCAGCGGCCTAGTGGAGGGGATTTCAATTTTCATTGGGGTCTCGGCGTTTGCTCGCGCCTAGTCAATTGTTCATACATGGCCCCAAAGTGAGGAATGAGCTGTTTACTACACTGGTGTGTTAGCTAAGCAAGTCCTTCCTCAGGCGACCTAGTTGAATATCACGACAGGAAAAAGGTTAAAGAATAAAAAAAATTCTTAGAAATTTTCCGAGCTCAATTCCTTATACCAATTTCATTTATTCCCACTTAATCAAGTCACACCAAGACTCTCACATCATGGCGCCCAACGTGGGGCTCGAGACTTTTGGTTCATTATCAGGAAAGTAAGACTCATCAAGTTGAGAAACCTAGGAAGAAAAGTGTGCAGAACATTGCAGAACAATATTGTTGTGGGTGTGTCTGTTGTCAGTTAGCACAATTCGTGAGGTTATCTTGAGATGATTACGGGGATTTAGTGTCCCTGCGGCCCGGTCCTCGACCAGACCTCAACCTCCAGGAAGCAGCCCGTGACAGCTGACTAACACCCGGGTACCTACTTTACTCGTAGGTAACAGGGGCATAGAGTGAAAGAAACTCTGCCTATTGTTTCTCGCCGGCGCCCGGGATCGAACCCGGGACCACAGGATCACAAGTCCAGTGTGCTGTCCGCTCGGCCGGCCGGCTCCCATTAGGTACACGCACACAAATCGGCCGTCTCCGATTAGGTACACACACACCACACACTCAGAATAGATGAGGATTATAGGTACAAGTACATGTCTCTGTACGCGGCTAGGTATGGCATGTTGCCAAAGGATAGAGACATTCGCACAGATGAGGAATGTCAACAGTATGTTGAGGACCATAAGGTCTATGTACGGCGTCTACGTCCAGTAAAAGCAAACAGAAGTGATCTTGGGGACAAGGGAGTTCCCCTAGCCGACCGTGGTATAGTCGGTATGTCAGGGGGTGTGGGATTGAGTCCACCCCAGGAAAAGGAAGTGGAGTCGCAACTCCAGCCTAGGCTAAGGGCTGATGCCTTGAGCCACAGACACGCTTCATATGAAGTCAATCAGATACCAGAACAACCTCTCAGGAGGGGGACTGAACAACCCCAGGAGGAAATTACTTTAGAGTACCTAGCAGCTCAAGCTGATGCTTTGGAACTGCACGGAGTAAGGCGAAATTTGTGGCCGACATGTGGAATGCCCACCACGACAGGTTGACTAGATTGGAAATTGCAAGAGTGCAATCCCAGGCAAGCAAGGACGGGGAGTCAAGCCCCTCCTACCGCGCCAAGCTCAGAGGTACCGGCGCTGAAAGTAGAGATCCCTCCTCTATTGCCAAGAGAGGAGAAGATCGATCCTAGGGATGCATACCTAGATCGATGTGTGATGAAGGTTGAACGGTTTACTCAAGCTCCAAGTAAGGGAGCCAAACCTAGAGAAAGTAAGTCTAAGGGACACCAACAGAAACCCAAGGTTAAGGGACCCAGGTGCTTCACATGCAACATGGCAGGTCACCGAGCAGCTAAGTGCCCGAGCAGCACTAGGCTTAAGACTAAGGTGACCAAGGTGCAAGTTACAGACATGAGTACCATGGGAGGTGATGCCCTAAGAGACACACTCGAGTTAACTAGAGGAAGAGTTAATGGGAAATGGACGAGTGTCTTTCGAGACCGGGGTGCTACAGTTAACATGGTCAGGAGCAGTTTGGTTGAGCCTGAGAGTAGAACAGGTCGAACCCTCCGTGTCCAGTACCCAGATGGCACTGGTAAGGACATGGAAGAAGTGTCCGTGTTGGTAGACACCCCATATATCAAAGGTAAGATCAAAGCTGCGCTAAGTAGAAAGGCAGTGTATGGACTTTTGATAGGTAATACTCCTGGTATAGGGAACCAGGTGGGTCTGTCCTGTGGAAATGACCCAGAGGAAACAGGAACAGGTGAGAGGAAGGTTAAACCCGCTGGCGTTGGCACCAAGCGTCAGCCGGCCGGTCGAGCAGAGATCACCGCCGCCCAGACAGAAGAAGAGAGGCAGCAGGTGAAAGGAAACAGGAGCCATCCTTCTCTCCCTATTGCACAGAAAACGAGAACTAATTCAGAGGGACTCAGATGGCTCTCACCAGCTGACGGCGATGTCACACGGCCGCCAGCTGAGGAAGTCATGGTCGCCTCTTATCAGGCGAAAGATCAGGTGCATGAGGTAAAAGGAAAAAGGAGCAATTTTCCTTCTATCAATTCACAGAAAACGGAGGTGAGCCCAGTGAGACGGGTGTGGCCCGGATCAGGTGATCCCGCCACGTCCTGTCAGCCAGCCAGACCTGCGAGGGTTAACACCACTCAGGAGAGTAAACGTCTGCTTGATGTTACCAGTGGTGAGGCTAAGGTAGCTGAGGTTCCCACAAGTGAAGTGGATATTCTGGACCAATCTGCCAGGCTGTTGGAAGATCGTTCAGACAAACGAACGGTCGCTGAGAGATTGATGAACGAGCAGGTCAGTGACCAAGTGCTCAGTGAGGGGCGAGGTTTGACAGCTGCTGAAGAGGCCTCAGCCCAGTCAACTCAGTCGGTAGAGCAACCCGGTCTGAGAGTGACAGACAGACAGGAAGAAAAACCTTGTCACCTGGAAGTCATGACAGTCTGCTAACAGTCGAAATTGTGTCGGTAGAGTAGGGAAGGTGTTGAGTCTGTACTTCATTGGTAAGTCCATCCCAGTGTGCTACCTATTGTGTCCAGTATGACACAGACCTGTGGGGCGAGAGTGTGAAGGGACTGACGAAAGGAAGCTGCGAGGCATCGAGCCGGCTTAACCTGGACCCAGAATCTGAGCACGACCGCACTACGGTCAGGAAGTACCACCCTGGATGAGCCAGTGACGTCACATCTTGCCTTGTCTTGAAATTTTGACACAACGTTGCATGTGAATACGTGCATGTTTTTATATACTTACTATACACATGCCACACCTGTGACATGTTAAAAGATTTTTTTTAGCAGCACCATCTCTTGGACGTAAAAGCAACATACACTTTGCTAAATATTTTACAAATCCAATTCAGTGTTTTTGATTGCACTGTTAAACTGAATTTTCATACATTTCGATTGATTTTCATTTTGATTTAATTATTTAATGTGACATTGCATTGAAATTGAGCTGTGTCATTTACCTTACCGCTCATTTTGTGAGTATTGTTTATTTGTTAATTGTTTTTCATTTCGTTTCTTTAACTGTTCTTATTTTTCAGTGATGGGAACATCAGATCATTTGATGTTCCCATTTTTTCTGATGAGAACATCACATCATTTAGGAACGCATTTTACATGGGAGTGGGGAATGGTGGGGAGGACGAGGGGACGGGGAGTTAGTGATGGTGGGGAGGACAAGGATATCGGGAATAGTGGGGAGGACGAGAGGCCAGAGGAGTGGGGGATTGTGGGGAGGACGAGAGGCCAGAGGAGTGGGGGATGGTGGGGAGGACGAGGGGATGGGTGGGGTAGGGGGGAATGATGGGAGGACAAGGAGACAGGAAGGGGGGTATGGTGAGGACGACAAGGGGACGGGGAAGTGCGGAATGGTTATACTTATGGTGAATAGTCCACTATTAAATATTTTATTATACAGTCTACTCCCGAATAATATTAAAAAATAACAACCACATAATCGCTCAAATTAGGTGTTGAGAAATTGAGTTCAATATAAACATATTACCCTGCCGGTGTCGCTGACGGAGGGGTCAGAGGGCAGGTTCTGCAAGAGAGCACCATAACCATACAAGAGGGAGGTGATGAGTCCTACTGGACGGCCTCCAGCCACCTTCTGCCACGCTCTCTGCAGCAACCACAGGGTCGCGCCCCACGACACCACACTCACCAGCAGCGCCACCCACAGCTTTCCTGCACCAGGAGTTGAAACAGAGCGTATATTTTTGTTTAGAATTTGCTACTGAAAATTGTGTATCTCTGTACCTCAATTGTGTATATCTGTGTATCTCTGTACCTCACTTTCTTAGTCTGTCTGTCTGTCTGTCTGTCTGTCTGTCCTGTCTGTCTGTCTGTCTGTCTGTCTGTCTGTCTGTCTGTCTGTCTGTCTGTCTCTCTCTC